GAGAATAAATAAATAAATAACATTTTTTTTACATTTTTTAAGAATATATATTAATATTAAATAGAGAATAAATAAATAAATAACATTTTTTTTACATTTTTTAAGAATATATATTAATATTAAATAGAGAATAAATAAATAAATAACATTTTTTTTACATTTTTTAAGAATATATATTAATATTAAATAGAGAATAAATAAATAAATAACATTTTTTTTACATTTTTTAAGAATATATATTAATATTAAATAGAGAATAAATAAATAAATAACATTTTTTTTACATTTTTTAAGAATATATATTAATATTAAATAGAGAATAAATAAATAAATAACATTTTTTTTACATTTTTTAAGAATATATATTAATATTAAATAGAGAATAAATAAATAAATAACATTTTTTTTACATTTTTTAAGAATATATATTAATATTAAATAGAGAATAAATAAATAAATAACATTTTTTTTACATTTTTTAAGAATATATATTAATATTAAATAGAGAATAAATAAATAAATAACATTTTTTTTACATTTTTTAAGAATATATATTAATATTAAATAGAGAATAAATAAATAAATAACATTTTTTTTACATTTTTTAAGAATATATATTAATATTAAATAGAGAATAAATAAATAAATAACATTTTTTTTACATTTTTTAAGAATATATATTAATATTAAATAGAGAATAAATAAATAAATAACATTTTTTTTACATTTTTTAAGAATATATATTAATATTAAATAGAGAATAAATAAATAAATAACATTTTTTTTACATTTTTTAAGAATATATATTAATATTAAATAGAGAATAAATAAATAAATAACATTTTTTTTACATTTTTTAAGAATATATATTAATATTAAATAGAGAATAAATAAATAAATAACATTTTTTTTACATTTTTTAAGAATATATATTAATATTAAATAGAGAATAAATAAATAAATAACATTTTTTTTACATTTTTTAAGAATATATATTAATATTAAATAGAGAATAAATAAATAAATAACATTTTTTTTACATTTTTTAAGAATATATATTAATATTAAATAGAGAATAAATAAATAAATAACATTTTTTTTACATTTTTTAAGAATATATATTAATATTAAATAGAGAATAAATAAATAAATAACATTTTTTTTACATTTTTTAAGAATATATATTAATATTAAATAGAGAATAAATAAATAAATAACATTTTTTTTACATTTTTTAAGAATATATATTAATATTAAATAGAGAATAAATAAATAAATAACATTTTTTTTACATTTTTTAAGAATATATATTAATATTAAATAGAGAATAAATAAATAAATAACATTTTTTTTACATTTTTTAAGAATATATATTAATATTAAATAGAGAATAAATAAATAAATAACATTTTTTTTACATTTTTTAAGAATATATATTAATATTAAATAGAGAATAAATAAATAAATAACATTTTTTTTACATTTTTTAAGAATATATATTAATATTAAATAGAGAATAAATAAATAAATAACATTTTTTTTACATTTTTTAAGAATATATATTAATATTAAATAGAGAATAAATAAATAAATAACATTTTTTTTACATTTTTTAAGAATATATATTAATATTAAATAGAGAATAAATAAATAAATAACATTTTTTTTACATTTTTTAAGAATATATATTAATATTAAATAGAGAATAAATAAATAAATAACATTTTTTTTACATTTTTTAAGAATATATATTAATATTAAATAGAGAATAAATAAATAAATAACATTTTTTTTACATTTTTTAAGAATATATATTAATATTAAATAGAGAATAAATAAATAAATAACATTTTTTTTACATTTTTTAAGAATATATATTAATATTAAATAGAGAATAAATAAATAAATAACATTTTTTTTACATTTTTTAAGAATATATATTAATATTAAATAGAGAATAAATAAATAAATAACATTTTTTTTACATTTTTTAAGAATATATATTAATATTAAATAGAGAATAAATAAATAAATAACATTTTTTTTACATTTTTTAAGAATATATATTAATATTAAATAGAGAATAAATAAATAAATAACATTTTTTTTACATTTTTTAAGAATATATATTAATATTAAATAGAGAATAAATAAATAAATAACATTTTTTTTACATTTTTTAAGAATATATATTAATATTAAATAGAGAATAAATAAATAAATAACATTTTTTTTACATTTTTTAAGAATATATATTAATATTAAATAGAGAATAAATAAATAAATAACATTTTTTTTACATTTTTTAAGAATATATATTAATATTAAATAGAGAATAAATAAATAAATAACATTTTTTTTACATTTTTTAAGAATATATATTAATATTAAATAGAGAATAAATAAATAAATAACATTTTTTTTACATTTTTTAAGAATATATATTAATATTAAATAGAGAATAAATAAATAAATAACATTTTTTTTACATTTTTTAAGAATATATATTAATATTAAATAGAGAATAAATAAATAAATAACATTTTTTTTACATTTTTTAAGAATATATATTAATATTAAATAGAGAATAAATAAATAAATAACATTTTTTTTACATTTTTTAAGAATATATATTAATATTAAATAGAGAATAAATAAATAAATAACATTTTTTTTACATTTTTTAAGAATATATATTAATATTAAATAGAGAATAAATAAATAAATAACATTTTTTTTACATTTTTTAAGAATATATATTAATATTAAATAGAGAATAAATAAATAAATAACATTTTTTTTACATTTTTTAAGAATATATATTAATATTAAATAGAGAATAAATAAATAAATAACATTTTTTTTACATTTTTTAAGAATATATATTAATATTAAATAGAGAATAAATAAATAAATAACATTTTTTTTACATTTTTTAAGAATATATATTAATATTAAATAGAGAATAAATAAATAAATAACATTTTTTTTACATTTTTTAAGAATATATATTAATATTAAATAGAGAATAAATAAATAAATAACATTTTTTTTACATTTTTTAAGAATATATATTAATATTAAATAGAGAATAAATAAATAAATAACATTTTTTTTACATTTTTTAAGAATATATATTAATATTAAATAGAGAATAAATAAATAAATAACATTTTTTTTACATTTTTTAAGAATATATATTAATATTAAATAGAGAATAAATAAATAAATAACATTTTTTTTACATTTTTTAAGAATATATATTAATATTAAATAGAGAATAAATAAATAAATAACATTTTTTTTACATTTTTTAAGAATATATATTAATATTAAATAGAGAATAAATAAATAAATAACATTTTTTTTACATTTTTTAAGAATATATATTAATATTAAATAGAGAATAAATAAATAAATAACATTTTTTTTACATTTTTTAAGAATATATATTAATATTAAATAGAGAATAAATAAATAAATAACATTTTTTTTACATTTTTTAAGAATATATATTAATATTAAATAGAGAATAAATAAATAAATAACATTTTTTTTACATTTTTTAAGAATATATATTAATATTAAATAGAGAATAAATAAATAAATAACATTTTTTTTACATTTTTTAAGAATATATATTAATATTAAATAGAGAATAAATAAATAAATAACATTTTTTTTACATTTTTTAAGAATATATATTAATATTAAATAGAGAATAAATAAATAAATAACATTTTTTTTACATTTTTTAAGAATATATATTAATATTAAATAGAGAATAAATAAATAAATAACATTTTTTTTACATTTTTTAAGAATATATATTAATATTAAATAGAGAATAAATAAATAAATAACATTTTTTTTACATTTTTTAAGAATATATATTAATATTAAATAGAGAATAAATAAATAAATAACATTTTTTTTACATTTTTTAAGAATATATATTAATATTAAATAGAGAATAAATAAATAAATAACATTTTTTTTACATTTTTTAAGAATATATATTAATATTAAATAGAGAATAAATAAATAAATAACATTTTTTTTACATTTTTTAAGAATATATATTAATATTAAATAGAGAATAAATAAATAAATAACATTTTTTTTACATTTTTTAAGAATATATATTAATATTAAATAGAGAATAAATAAATAAATAACATNCTGTTACAATATTTGAAAGCTAATTCCGGATCGAAGATCGGTTCGAGGGACCACATCTCGCAGATTATGGGAAAGGTTTCGAGGATAATAGATTTATTGTCTGGGAGAGATGATATCTACAAGATGGTATCCAGTATAAAGGATAAACTGGATGAAATTAACAGTAAAGAAGTAAGAAGAGATGGAAGATCTTTTGCTCAGGTAGTGGCAAGTGTTCCATTGGAAGATGGTTAAACCAAGAGAAGTTCTTATTGTGCAACGTATTGAGGCTGCCGAAGATGCAGAACGGACTAAGAAGATAATAAAAGATAACATTAAGCCCCATCTTTTGAAGATTGAAGTTAAAGGTTTAAAACAATTAATGGCGCGGTGGCAATTGAGGTTGATAAGAAAAAAGACAAAGAAACATTACAGAAGGCAGTAGAGATGATCCCTGGCATGATAGCAAGGGAGCCAAAGAAAAGATTACCGAAGGTGATCATCCACGCAATGCCCAAGGAAATAGACAAAATAGAACTGTCGAAGTATATATATGAACCGAATGAGGGTATATCAGACTTCTATAAAGAGCTGGAACAGTTTAAATTATTAAATATCGTGGCGTGATCCACAACGGGAGACACTGAAATGTCGCATGAAAAAGGCATAACTTACGTAGGCATTAATATATACTGGGTTCGAGGATATGAAGGTGAGTACGGCTTATATAACTGCTGGAGACGGTCCCGACTGTCACGTGACCAGCGGAGCCTCGGGAGACGGGTCCGAGTGTTACCTGACCCGCGCCCCATTGGCCCGCGGATTGCGCTGCATCTGTAATGGCTGAGGAAAGCCCACATGATTTGGCTGTCATGAGATGTGCTGTCATTGGGCTCCTTCGTCTGAAATATGAGTTCCGAAACGTTTCTAGCAAGACGACGTGTTGCACTAGTGGATACAGAGTTGGACTAACATCAACGTGGATCTGGCTTTGTGGTCCGGCAAAGGTAAAATTAATAATATATAGTTGATATAGTTGTATTTACAAGCAATAGATAGCAACTGCGGGTGACACGGGCAAGTGTGGACGGGATAAACGACAGCGACGAGGAGAGAGACCTAACGAAGGTGTTCGCGAGCGCGCGTTAAATTTTATTTTTCGCGCAGTAGACTCCCTTTTGACCACCGTGTCACGTGACCGGAAATGACGTAGGCGGCTTATCACAAAGGGTCGCGCGTAGGAGGGTGGTTCATTAGACATTTATTGTTCGCATAGGAGGGGCTACACTTTGGGGGGTGGCGACCCCTCATTCGGAGGCAAATTTTACCTTGATTTATTTAAATTATTTTTTTTAATTTTGAATTATATAATTTAAATTCTATAAGCATTTTACTAACGTATGATATACCTTATGCAGTTATGTAGAATTGTATTTATTGACAAGACTATGTATTTTTTACAAAATTGTACTGCCTGCTGGCTTACCAGCTTAGAGATATGGAGTACAGTACATATGTCAGGAGTTGCAATGTGGCATAGAGTATTAAGTGCCCAAATCATGCGCGCATCAAAAATCCAGACTCTGGAGACCAAGAAACGAGTCAAAATAAAATTCAAAATGGCGACACTTTCTACAAACAGGGAGTAGTGCGAGATTTTGACAAACGAATTTCGAATTTTGACAAACGAATCTTTGAAAACGAAAATCGAATTTTGACAAACGAATCTTTGAAAAAACCCATTTACCTGTCCCGTGTTATTCTCTGGTCGCCAAGTGTTGACCTCGACCGATTGACCCGAGATATCTCGTTTCGGCATCGGAACGTTTTTTTCACAATAGATGGCGCTAGTCGTTATACTGTAATTTTATATTACAACAAACTTCCGAAATATAATTTGTTTTATTTTCATATTTATTAATACAGTAATACCTCGAACTTACGCGATAGGTGGGACCGAGCGATAACCGCGTAAGTCGAATTCGCGTAAGTCGGGGTATAATTTCCCAATTTGCGTAAAATCCAAGTCGGATGTATGTAAGCTAATAAATGTTCTCGTTAATCTTATCCCGTCTTTTGATTCGTTTACGGTTACAAGAATTAATCACATAGAGTCTCTCGAGTCTCCGTAGATATAACAAACACAGAAATAAATAACACAAAATAAATTGTAACTATGTGTCGATTCCGCGCGACACGTCCGAACATATAAGCTGAACAATATTATGGGGGGAGTGAGTAATCAAGAATTGCGTGGCGATCAAACAAAAGACAAATCGACGAGATTTGAAAATCGCGTAACTCCGGGTTTGCGTAAGTCGGGATAGCGTAAGTCGAGGTATTACTGTATACATATGTTATTTGTACAAAATAATTCCGGACGATACAATAGCCACGATTATTTTTTCAAAAACGGAAAATTTTCGTTAGGCATCGACGAAAATTCAAACCGGAGCGACACGCAACGGAGAAAAATTTCGAAATTGGATAGGTTAATTTCACCGAATATGCCACGTGGACGGCTTCGTGGTCGTGGTCGAAGCGGGCGAGGTTTCAAAGATCGTATTCAAAACCAGCGATACCAAAGATTGGAGAATGAGAACGAAACCCGCCTTGAGCTTCGAAGTGATCCCGCTTAGAAGTGAGTCTCCGAGACATACCCTTGCCCCAAATACGGCTTTGCCGTTTTACTTGTTTACAGTAAAATGTAGAAACTGTAAAGTAACCGCATTCCAGAATATATAATCCTCATTATTTATATTTTATTAAAATAATTATTTAACATTACTGAGTTGTATTTATAACATTCGACATTCATTCTGAATATTTGGTTCAATAATATGTTCAACACTGAGTGAAAAAAAAATGGTCGATGAAGACAACGAATTCACACCCAAATTTATCTTTCTATAATTTTCAATACAGTAACAATAAAACAATAAATATATCGCCATTTAATTATTTTGTATTGTGAAAGGTAGACATGTTTACAGTACTAAATAAAATATCATAAATATGAAAAAATTCAATTTATTAAATAGTTCCTTGGCAAAATTTAATTTTTCGAGTTTTTTTTGCAAATCTCCTGAAACCAAAAGTAAAAAAATAGGCAAAAAAAATTCCCTGGGTAAGTGTGTGTATGTATTTATGTGTGTGTGTGCGCCCTCTTAATGCGGAAAAACTTTGTATAGAAAAATCTGCTGTGTAACTTACACACACGAAGAAAATCCGGAAAACTTTAGGCATTGATTAGGGTCGGGATCAGGCGAAAACCCAAATCCAACCACTACTGTTCGGTAGATTTATCATTTTCGGCCATTGATGCGCACCTATCATGACCATGACAACATACAGTAGAAGAAGCATCTATGAAAAACATTTGCTTGTATTCAGTCAGGACAGGTCCGTGCGTATGGTTTATTAAATGAACGAGAGTTTGAAAACACATTATTTTTCTTAACACGCTTTATTTATTTTTACAATCTAGGCATAGAGAAACACAATACAGTAGATTAAGAATAAACCGAACGGATACAGAATAAATATTAGTTATATATAATATAATGTTTAATTTTACTTTTTAAGGGTTGAAAAATGAAACGTTCAAACCGATTTAATTTCTTACAATAATTAGCGTTGAAATCAAGTAAAATATATACTGTAGACTACAATATTCCGTAAATTGTAATTATTAGCGATTATTTTTGCAACAAAGTGGAATTTTGAGATAAATTTAAAATGTGCGCAACGAAAGAAATGCACTTGTTATCTCCGCCTTTCAAAATGTCCCGAACTTGCAGCAGAACATTGAAGGCGGAGTAGAGCGAACTGTATACCTATTAACGAGAAAAAGAACAATTAATTTTTTCCTATTTTTTCACGTTTTAAATCTTCACAGCTGTAAATTAATCGCTACAGAACTTGAATTTATACTCTACGTATGTGTCTTATATTTGATAAACTTCCATATACCTTTACCGGACATCCCTTCGACGCAACGAAAAAACCACCGCAACTAAATCCCAGTTCGTTTTCTCGAAATTTTTTCATGAAATCCAACATCTAAATAAATATAAATTTTAATAATTAAAAGAAGTACGAATATACGAGTACAGTTGTATTTATAATTATTGAAAATACAATAAACTTACTTTTATTTTGTCTTCTACCGCCAAACGAGCGGAAGCGAAGATCCTTATTTCTTGAAAAGAATCATAAACCTAAACATATAAAATTAAAAAATGTCATTGAAAAAATAAAATTGATACAAATTTTTATTCTGCCCAACAGAACTTACGCATGCCGAAATATGGGAAATAGCAAAAGAGAACAACAATGCCAGAAAAACGCAAAAAATGGTGGCGAGACATAATAATAGCCGAAAAATTATGTCCAGTTCACCGAAAATAGCATTGTAAAGAAAAAACGCTAAGATATAAATTACTATGCCAAATATACCGAAAAATAGTTCCTTCCATTTGTTATTCATCTGATTTATAAGATCATAAATCTCTGCATGCTTCCAGATGATTTCGTCCACGTCATACTTTACGCATCTCTTTCTGGTTAATTGTAATTGTTTCGCTAATTCTCTGAATCTCTCCAGTATCAGAAGGCCTACTAATAACGATGCCGGTATCATCCAACAATAAAATGCCATTTTGTAAGTACCAAGTACAGTAAACGAAAGAGAGCAAAAAAGTGCTCGAAAAGAACTCGAATCCTTCTCTACTACCGGAAAGAAAACAAATGAGGACATCAAAGCGATAAAAATGAAAATTCCGAGAAAATAAACACCGAAAAATCCTAACATTACCAATTGATACCGAAACAATTTTTCCTTCTCGCCGCTGTAACTCGATATTTTCATGTCAAAGCTTATTTTTTTCCTACCCACATGTATGCAAAGAATGTAACCAATATTAATGAAATAAAAGGCCATTTTCAGAAAAGGATGCATTTCTCTACCGTTATATCTTTCAATAGGACTACAGAATACAACATTCTCTTTAGTTGCAAGATTCTGAAGGACAAATACAATCGTTTCAGTAACCGAGAATATCAGAATGCATTTCCTGTAAAATTCTATTATTTTTGATTGTCTGGCGTTCAACTTGTGACAATCGCAGCGTTTGTAAGAAATATCGCCAAAAATTATAGAGATAGAGATTACGGGATAAAGCATACAGTAAACGCAATTCTCCGCCATATTGCGTCTAACTAGAAGTAATGGAGCTTATTACTCTACAGCAATTGTAAATTATTACTCTAAAGCTGTTTTCTAGAAACAGCGACGATTTTTCCTTCTCCTTCCACGTGTATTCGCTTATATCAGAACGCAAATAAGCGAAATAGGTTTACTTATCTATGCGCTGTGCAGAATTTTATGATCGTAATGCAATCGATCAATATCAATTCGAGTTGAAACGAGCTTATTTTTGCGAATGAATATTTTTATTTCTACTTATAAATAATGGAATTCGATTTTATTTTCAACTAGCTGTTATCCACGACTTCGCTTGCGGAGGTTTTGCAAGCAAACCCTATTTATATTCAGTATTTCAACAACCATAGTAATTGTTATATAACACCTACCGCCGAGAATGATGAGAATTGCCGAGAATCAAACGAATTGTTTTCAATGTGATCAATTTTCCGGAACGTTTACAATCGTTCTATAATCGAATCAATACGTAATAATAAATTCGAATTTAAAACGGTTCGAACACTTGGTTAAAAAATCGAAATATATAAAAATATTTATAACAATGTCTGAAATGTTATCATTTTAATACACCTAAGTACTCAATGAAGACTAAACGTAGTTGAAAACAAAAAGTCGCATCTAAAATAGTACAGTAGAAGCCGTTCTTCAAGATAAGCCTCTCCTTCTCCCCCCGCGGGAAAATTTCGAAAAATCCCTTCTTATTGTGCGTTTTCATGATGTACTCTAACTGCGTACCAAATTTCACCTCTTTAGGTTCAGCAGTTTGCTCTGGGCGATGATGAATCAGTCAGTCACCCAGTCAATCAGTCAGGATAATAACTAAGATGTTATTAGAGTGGATTGGTTTGAATCGATTCAATTAAGAAAATACAACACTTGGGCAATCTGCCAAAGGAAGAGAGCTTCCCTGCAGGACTTTCTTGGAAAAAACTGAACTCTATTTAGGTGTTTCTATGGGAAACTGGATCATATGTAGGTGTTAAACACGCGAAGAAAACCCGGATAATTCCACGTGATGTTGGTGAGGCGTGAAACTGCCACTGGTATATCTACTCGGCTACTGGATAGCCAAATTAAACAAAACCTGTCTTTGAAATATTAACAGTAAAAATAATAAAAACTCTGATTTTATCATTTTATTGAGTTTTTACTTGAAAAACAATCGCGATCTTTTAATTTAATCGATTATTAATATAACATTGATAATCAAAAATATTGATATTTATATACAAGATACTCCAGGTATTTATCGATATTTATACAAGATCTTATATAACTTTGCAAAAGTGTATCAAATCACACGGATTATATCTTTATATGATTGTGATATTCGATATATCTTAGTATCGTTATATAAATAGAAATTTTATATACTGCATTTAATTTTTTATTACATGATCTTATTTAATTAAACATTTCGAAATGAGTTTAATTAAAATAATTTAACATAACATTAAATAACACAGAAATATACAGAATTCCATCTTTGCAGACTAAACGTAAACTGCTTATTTCTAACACCAAAAACGATTATGCCATCATTTGGATCCATCTTTAATTAGTAGTGATGCAACGAATGGTATATTCGGCCTCAGGCCGAATACCGAATATTCGGCAAGGAGCGTGGCCGAATAGCCAAATATTCGGCCAAACTATTCGGCTTGATTAACGCACGTACGCATTATGGCAAGGATCGCTCACCCTGCTCTCATCTGTCACTACGTTTCGCCAATCGCGTTAATTCTTGACAGTTGTAGCGGACAGACACGAGCGTCACGGCAGTATGTGATAAATGATGACATCAAATGTGGATAACAATGAAATGACCTACACGTGTAAATAACGGAAAAAGAACAGAGAAAGATCGCGAAGTGAGAATGTGAAAATAAATATGAAATTGAGATTGATAACATAATCGAACAAGTCGAGGCAGCTTATTGGAGCGAAATTCGCAGCCGTCAATGCCAAATAATTGTTCTCATTGATTTCGGAAAGCTAAATGCTCGTAATGAAAGACACTTAGCGTGCACGGGTGAAAGCCTGGGGCCGTTCGGGCTATCAAGCTGTCTGGAACTTCAGTTATGATAAATAATTTTCTACAATAAAACAAAAAAGTTAATTTTCAAGTTTATAATAAGGGATGATTTTATAAGAATGTTTTACAGATCATTAATTTTTTTTCACATTTTATGACATAAGTTTCGATCTCATGTGCCCACGCAGTAAAAATTTTCATACAAATTTTTTATCCTTTTCACTCCTTTAGGGTTGAATTTCGTAAAATCTGTTCTTAGTACGCCTAAACTTTACAAAAGGAACACACCCTTAAATTTTTAAGTTTCTAGCACCAGTAGTTTTGGCTCTGCGTTAATTATCCTATTGGGACTTGTTCTTTTATATACGAGTATATAGATGACTAAACTACATAATAAGTCGGTAGTGTTCATTTGATTTGTAACTTTTTTTTATCTCTTAAAAACACAACTTAGTTATTACTTTTCCATTGATCTTTTACATAAATAAGAAAAAAATTGCGCTTTTTCGAACTTGAAATGTATGTTCAGCATTAATAAACGTTACCAAAATGATTAATTTACTGTGTTTTTGTTGTTTCTTACTCCTTTTCTAGGTACAGTAGAACCTCGAAAACTCGGCTCTCGATAACCCGGCACTCCGGATAACTCGGTCACACCCTGGCAAGGCAAAAAAATCCTTAGTTAATTAATTTTCATTATAGACAGCTTTATAAAAGTATAAAAGCTCTCATAAAGTATTTTTCTGAGGTCTGTCTTATCAGGTAAATTACTGTACACAGTGTATTCATTAATTTTCATTTTCATGTAGTAAAGGCTCTATGCCTTCATAAAGGACGTACTTTTCCTTTGT